CTTGTTTTAATTCTTTGCGGTTCCTATTAAAAAATTTCAGGTAATCCTTAATTGTCTGGTTTTCAAAAGCCTTAGCTTTTGAAAGAGCATTTTCCTCTTCCAAGGCCTTTGTTGGCCCTTCTCCATTTCCTAAAATTATAAGTCATTGTGCTTTTAGGGAAATTCTGTCATGAAGCCCCTACAGAGCTGCACAAGCCTGAGTCCCAGTGCTTCCTCACTGCATTCAACTCATTGAGACTAACACTCATCCCTCCTTAAACAGATTAAAAGGTCTTAGCCATAGTTGTGGAATCACAACCAAGCTGTCCTGTTAGTGTGTGTGCTGCATTGCATCTACCATGGAGCCTGTAAATTAGAAAGGACAACATTATCTTGGGGATTTTTGTGTGTTTTAAGATTTTGCTTGGGGCTGGAGAAGTGACTCAGTGGTTAAGAGCACTGGCTGCTCTTCCTGAGGACCTGGATTCAATTCCCAGCAGCCACATGGCAGCTCAAAAATCTCTGTAACTTCAGTTCTAGGGGATCTGGCACCCTCACACCAGTGCACATTAAATTAAATAAATAATTTAAAAAGAAATTAAAAAATATTTTGCTTTTATTTTTGATTATGTGTAAGTGTGTATGCCTGTGTGCAGCTGTCCACATAGGAGTACATGGACTTGTGAGGCTAGAGATGTCAATCCCCTGGAGCTGGTGTTACAGGCAATTGTGAGCCACCTGATATGGGTGTTAGGCACTAAACTTAGGTCCTCTCCAAGAATAATAGGCACTCTTGGCCACCAAGCCATGTCCCCAGTCTCCGCATTTCTTTATTTAAAGCAAAACTCTTGGTTAGGAACAAAGAAATGATAGTGCCGCCTGTGCTAGTCATCAGCGAGGTGTGTGAGTGTTCGTCAGCAGCTCGGAATGTGCTCAGGCCTCCTACCAGGTAGGTCTGTATGAGGTTAGCCAGGCCAGGCAGCCATGTTCTTGACGATTAGAACTGAAGCTCATAAATTCCACTGGACCTGTTTCCTCCTCCTCTTTTCTTTTCTTTTCTTTTTTTTTTTTTTTTTTTTTTTTAGATAGGATCTTATGTATATTCCAGGCTAGCCTCTGATTTAGAGCAGTCATTCTGCTTCTGTCTTTTAAGCACTGGGATTACAGTGTATGCCACTGTGCTTGATGTCATTGAGCTGTTTTTTCAGTTAGAAAATTTTGTGAGCCCTGGCTAATTCTTTGAGTTGTGTCTCAGGGGAAGGCTTAAAATATTGTAATAGATAGATAGATAGATAGATAGATAGATAGATAGATAGATAGATAGATAGATAGACAGATAGATAATTTACTTAATGTATATGGGTATATAATGTGTCTGCATATATAACTGTATACCACATGCATGTTTGTGCCCAAAGAAACCAGGAGAGGTTGGATCCTCTGGGACTGGAATTACATATGGTTGTGAGCCACCATGTGGATGCTAGGAATTGAACCCTTGTCCTCTAGGAAAGCAGCCAGTGATCTTAACCACCGAGCCATCTCAACAGCCCAGAATAGGGAGGTTTTTTTTTTTATTGTTGTTTTGATTTGGCTATTTGGGGTGTGTGTGTGTGTGTGTGTGTGTGTGTGTGTGTGTGTGTGTGTGTGTATGTGTACATGTCTACTTATTCCACAGCACACATACAGGCCAGAGGACAGCTCAGGAGTCACTTGTCTCCTGACACCTTCTGGGATATGAACTCAAATCCTGGTGTCAGGCCTGTGTGTAAGCACCTCTACCGGCTAAGCCATCTCAGTGGACCTTGATTTTGTTTGTTTGTTTTGTTTTGTTTTTGAAATAGACCTTCAATTTGTCTAGGATGGCCTTGAATTTCTGATCCTCCTAACTCAACTTCCAAGTGCTAGGATCTCAGATATGCTCAGTCATGACAGGCCAGGAGTTTCTAATAGAACAAGCACAGTTAGGACTCAAGGCAAAGCCAATTCTGTGCTGGTAAAGGCACATTCAACTACAGGACCATGGCAAAACTGTCCTGGAAGAGTGCCAGTAGCTGCTAGACACATTTCTCAGTGTCACACCTAAAAAGTTACTGATATCAGGATCCTCTCTATGACAATAATATGAAATATGTCTTGGTGAAGGCCTTTCTAGGCCCGTATTCTCAAATCCAAGACTGCTTAGTTTGAGCAGATTATAGAGGAGACCCTTCATGTGAATTTTTTTTTTTTTTTTTTTTTTTTTTTTTTTTTTTTACTTCATTGGAGTGGAGCATTGGAGCAGGTCACACATCATGTAGCCTAAGATGACCTCAGAGCTGGGGTCCTCTTGCCCAGCCTCAAGGGCTAGGCTTACAAGCATGCACCACTGTACCCACTCCAATGAGTGTAAAAAAAAACCAAAAACGTAACAAAGTTACTTTTTTTCTTTAGTCTCTTAAACTTTATTTTTGGGGCTGGAGAGATGGCTCAGTGGTTAAGAGCACTGGCTGCACTTCCAGAAGACCCAAGTTCAATTCCCAGCACCCACATGGCAGCTCCCAACTGTCTGTAACTCCTGTTCCAGGGCAATCTGACATCCCCGCATAAACATAAACATACATGCATTCAAACATCAATGTACATAAAATAAAAATAAATTAATTTAATTTTTTATTTTTAAGTGTTCATACAATATTTCAACCATATTAATTTCTCTTTCCCCTTTTAGTCTCTTACTAGAATAGTCAAAAAAATAATTATCAGCCAGGTGTGATACCATACACCTTTAATCCCAACACTCTGGAGGCAGTGGCAGGTGGATCTCTGAATTCAAGGCTAGCCTGGTCTACAGATTGAGTTCCAGGAGAGCTAGAGCTACCCAGAGAAATCCAGTCTTGAAAAACTAAAAGGAAAAGAAGAGCCAGGCACAGTGGCGCATGCCTATATTCCCAGCACTCTGGGAAGCAGAGGCAGGTGGATCTCTATGAGTTCGAGGCCAGCCTGGACTACAAAGTGCCTCTAGAACAACAAAACAACCAAAGCTGCACAGAGAAGCCCTGTCTTGAACAGAGAGAGAGAGAGAGAGAGAGAGAGAGAGAGAGAGAATTAACCAGTTAGATATGGCTGGTGTGAAATGATCATTGAACGCAAAAAATTCAAAGACAAAACCCTGTCTCGATGATGATGGTGGTGGTGGTGATGATGATGTTTTAAATTATCAAACTATCCTAATTTCATATATGTGCATTCTTTCTGTACTCTCAGCTGTCCTGCCTCTGTCATCCCTAAAATGTAAAGGGAGAGAAAGTTCATCCCTATTTATCCCTATTTTACAGTTTAAAAACCAGGGAGGCTAGAACAAAAGCAGGAAGAAATGAGAAGAAACCAAAGACATGAGTCTGAACTCCTGTCCTTTTAAAGATCCTAGATACAGGTTCCTGGCAACGGTATCAGCAGCTACCATTTATAAGCTTTTGCATGCCAGACAATTTTTATGTCCCTCATTTTTTAAATTTCCCTAGTTATTTGAATGCACATACTTTGGTGTTGGGGCTGGTTGGCTGATCCTGTGTCCCCCACTCCCCGGCCATTTGCAATACTCAGCATGAAACCTAGGGCTTTGGCATGCTAGAGTGCTCAGCTATTGAGTACATTATATCTCAGCTTTCTTTTTGGTTTTTGTTTTCTGTTTTTTTGTTTTTGTTTTTGTTTTTTAAGGTAATGTTACATAGCCCAGGCTAGTTTTTAATTTTCTGTAGCCAAAGATGACTGGTTATCCTGTGTCCACCTCCTAAGTGCTAACTTGCCAGGCCAAGTTGCTGTGGTGCTGAAGCTGAGACTCAGGGTTTCTTCATGCATGCTTAGGCAAGCACTCTACCAATTGCTGTATCTCCAGACTTGAATGTTGGAGGTTTCTTTCTTTCTCTCTCTCTCTCTCTCTCTTTCTTTCTTTCTTTCTTTCTTTCTTTCTTTCTTTCTTTCTTTCTCTTTCTCTTTCTTCTTTCTCTTTCGTTCTTTCTTTCTACTTCTTTCTCTCTTTCTTTTTCTTCTCTCTTGCTTTCTTTCTTCACTTTACATCCCTATTCTAGCCCTCTCTCTCTTCTCCTATTCCCACCCTTTCACCTTCTTCTTTTCCACTTGCCCTTCTCCTCAGAAAAGGGAGATTTTTAAGCAGAGATCTAGACATGTTGTTATGTAGTCACATCAGGGTTCAAAGTTAAGTCCAAGCAAATGTTCCTCTCTTTCATTTCTTTCCTCCCTGCCCCAATGTCTGACCAAAGGTGCTTTTGAAATGATTCTCAGGTCAATGTCAGAGACCTTGTGGCTGGATTTCCTTGATTCAACCCAAACTCTAGATGCAGCCAGGTCGCCCTCGGGACAGAGTAGCTTGGGAAGACAACTAATGTCACTGAAAGGGAAAGTTTTGCTTTTGAAAAAGGAGATCCATCTAATGGTGGTTTATATAAGCCAGAAGGCAGTCATGTACCTGCAAGTTGAAAATTCCCCTCTGCCTTGCTCCCCACATCTGAATATACCTTTTCGATTTCCTTAACAATAGCAGTTTTAACAGTGCTTTTAATTAGATGAATTAAGAATGTTCTCTGATGTTATCACCCCCTCCCGCCCCCCTATCACCTCCAATTCCCTATTGCTGTGAGAGATCCGGGGTTTCCATAGTAACAATACTACCAGCCCAGGTTGCCTTTCGCTGGTTATGCTGGTCAGAGGAAAGTTGTGGCCATTCTTTTCCAGTGTGGTGGGCTGTGGGTAGGCCTTTTCTGGTCCCGATGTCAGAGCAAAGAGGTGAGGAGCTAAGAGGCTGAGAATGGAAGTGTGCTCCTAAAAGACACCTAGCTCTCTGGAAAGTAACAGGGCTCCCACTCCTCTTTCCCCAGGGTCTCAGATATGAGTTGAAAGTCAGCCTATTCCTAGCCTAAAGTCTCCTTCCTACCTTGTGGTTAATTTGATCCTCCTTGGATTTTGTTATTTTTGGTAACAAGTTGTTTCTTTTCCCATTCTCTTCTCTGTCTCCCACACAGAGAGTTTTCAACGTCCTTTACCCCATGCCTGCTGACCAGCGGAGACATGTCAGCATCAACTCTGCCCGTTGGCTACCTGAGCCAGGGCTTGGTTTGGCCTATGGCACCAACAAAGGAGACCTGGTGATCTGCCGACCAGAGTGAGTTGCTCAAGGAGCGGGTATGGACACTATCTGAACAGAGGCCTAGACGAAGTATTACTCACTTGTAGGCGTGGCCAGCCAGGTAGGGCCTTTTACACAGACAATCCATATCCTGCTAGAGAAGTATTGGAGGTAGTACATGAAGGAGATGAGCAGAAGGATGAAGTTCAAAACAAGCCTGGACTACATAAGGAGACCCTGTTTCAAGAAAGGGGGAGCATCCTCTGTATTTTCATGTTGTTCCCTGCACCACAACTTCCCAAGCTGCTTAAAGGACCTTCTCTCAAGGGAGAGTTAGCTCTTCATTCCAAATGCTGTCCAAAAGACTAATTTCATAACTAGGTGTGGTATGGGACCTGTATAATCCCAGCTACTTTGGAAGATGAAGCAGGAGGATCATGAGTTCAAGTCTAGCACGGGTTACATAGTGAGATCCAATTTCAAGGTAGCAGAGAGCTGAGAATGTGGGTCAGTGGTCGAGGCTAGGATATGTAAGGTCTTATGTTCACTCTCTGGCACTGCCAAAAACAAGAAAAACAGACACTTCAGTGATTGCTTTCTTGAATCTAGACAGTGTTGTATTTTCCTTTGTTGTTTCTTATTATCTGGCTTCCTAATAAAGTCAAGTCCCCTCATGCAAAAGAATAGATATCAAAGGTCTTTTTTAAAAACTTTTTTTTTTTGGAAAAAAATCAACAAGTGATCTTATGTTTATATAAATGCAACAGACAGTAACTTATGAACTAAAATTGAAGCTGGGCATGGTAATGCACACTTAATCCCAGCACTCAGCAGAGGCAGACAGATTTTTGTGAATTCGAGGCCAACCTGGTCTACAAAGTGCATTCCAGCACAGCTAAGGCTGTTACACAGAGAAAGCCTATCTTGAAAAACCTAAAAAAAAAACAAAGAAAAAACAAAAACAAGCAAGCAAGCAAATAAATAAAATTGGGAATGGAGAGATGGTTCAGTAGGTTAGGTTCTCAGTACTTGCATGGAGGTTCACAACCATTTGTAACTCTAGTTCCAGAGGATTTGATTCCCTCTTCTGAGCCTCATGGATACAAGGATACACATGTATATACATACATTTGCAGACAAACATACGAATAAAATAATATATTTTATTATTTTGTTTTCTTATAAAATTATAAAATGTAATGGTATTTTGATACAATTATATGTAATGAAATAAAATTTTAAAACATAGGCATAAGATAAATAAATAAAACCAATTGGTCAGGCTACTGATCTCCAACGGACTGTTTCTGTTCCTGCTCTGCTCCTTTTTACTAGAAGCTCAAGCTCACTCGAGCGAAAGCAGATTGAAAAGCTCCATGTAAAGTCACAGTGCTAATTACCTGGCTCTGAAGCATGGAGGGAAGGGGAGCAGGAGCATGGCTGACCTAACGACACCCTTTTTTCTTGCTCTGGCTTTTTAGAGGGTAGAAGTCTCTCCAGGCACCTACTCCGGACCCTGGAGTCAGCCTCATTTATTGTCGCTTTCTAGGCCCAGCCAGATGGGGAGTGTGAAGCCCTGCTTCACTGCAGAGCAGGCTGATTGCTGCAGGGGACACTGTGGGGTTCCAGCTGACTAAATGCCACTTCTGTCTCCAGGCTGCCTAATGCTGTTCTTCACCTGGTGCAGTCTTCTAGAGTGCCGTACAGACCAGAGTGCAAAGTTGCTGGCCTTGGGGAATACCCGTGTTACCTGTATTTCTCTTTATTTTATTCTTTGGAGACAAGATCTTAGGTATTCCAGGATAGCCTCAGAATTTCTGTGTCACCAAGGAGGATCTTGAACTTCTGATTCTCTTGCCTCCATCTTTCAGGTGCTGGGATTATAGTCATGTGCCATCACACCTAGTGTATGTTGTACTAGGGATTAAATCCAGGGATTTGTACATTAATTTGCTAGGCAAGCACTCTTCAACCGATACACCCCCACTTTCCACACTGTTTTTGTGCTTTGATAGGGCTGTGGTGTTTGGATCAGTTGTTGTGGTCTGGTAGGTGACTGACTAGTGATTGACCCTGTCAGCCCTCAGCTGAGTTAGGACAGTGGCACCAGGGAGAGAAAACTTGCTTCATTAGAACCAGCAGTACCTTTGTTCCACCCTCCCCAAAAACGGCTGCTGTTTAAGTCTGACCCAGTGAAGCTGCTCTTGGAGCAGGGAGAGAACCTTGTTCCGGCAGCTACTTGTTCCTAAGTTTCTGTGTACAAGAAGCCTCTCTCACAACTTCCTGTGTCTTTCTAAAAGCATAGCCTAACTCCTTTGAGCCATTTTTAGTCCAGACGCTGGACCCAGCACCTTTTGCTCTTACTTTGTACTCTCTTTGATCCAGGATCTGTGTGAGTTCTCAACTACTTCTTTTTCCCCAAACCATAAGAAGCTGGTTATCTTATTTCTATTCCTTAGAAACTCCTAAGAAAACCCTAGTAGACATTTTTTTCCAAAATTGGTATAAGATTCCAGACTAATTTTATTTATACCAGCACTATAGTTTATAGGCCTGTCTTTTCCTATTTTCCAGAGACCTCTGTCTTCCATAGTTTGGTTTTATCTATGGCTCCCACCACTTACCTTCGTCCTTAGCCCTCTTCCTTTCAAAGTGATCTACCCTCCCAGAGGCACTCTAACCCAGTTTGTTGTCACCCCACCTCCCAGATGTCATGTCTCAAACCCTAGCCCACGTATTTGGTGTGAGTCACAGACTCCTCAGCCAAACATGAAGGTGGCTCTGGCCTCTATTTTCTCTCTCCTCCCCATATGTCGTCTTCAGCATCCCAGAGTCTCAGTGAGCCTAAACCATCTTGGGCTCCTAGGCGCTCAAGCCTCTTCCCTAAATAAAATGGACATTGGACCATTGGACGGTCCTCTCCCAGGCTAAGTGGAGGTAGCTTAGACCACCAATTTTGATTCTGCTATTTATTCTGATTTCTTGGAATCTTGTGGCCTTAAGACAGGAAATTTAGGGTCTCGTATAAATTTGGCATGGATGAGACTTAGACTTAAGTTTTTCAAAGTTTCCCCTAGATCTCATTATGCAGTCAAGGCCTATTGACCTTGACACATATTGTAGTCTAGACTCCCTCAAATTCCCCATCACAGGCTCTTTCTGCTATGCTGGGCTTAAAGCTCAGCCACCTTCATATCTTTTATTTTTACTTCAGGCAAAGTAAGAAGGTTATCACTTTTCTACAGCCTCTCTACAAATCACTGTTAGAATTGGGTCTCTGAATTTTCCACTCCAGATCTCTTCCCTATAAATAATATTTAACCCTTTTCCCATCAAAAATCCCTCCAAAACTAGGTATAGTAGTGCATGTCTATAATCCTAGCACCCAGGTGGATAAGCAAGAGGATTGTTTTCAGTTTGATGCTACCTTGTCTTAAGTTTGAAGCTACCTTGAAGCTTCCCAAGGCTGATGGCCTGAGTTTAGTCTCAGGACTCTCATGGTAGAAGGAGAGAATCAGTTCCCTGAAGTTGTCCTTTTGACTTCAAATGAATTTCACGTGCACACATACACAGAAAAAAAAAAATTTAAGAAAGCAACATACTCTCTCCTGCATAAAAATATACCATAGGGACACACCTATGCTTTTTATGACTCCTTAAGACTCTCGGTCCTATTTGGTGAGTCAGGTGACTGGTGCATTAGAAAATAGGAGAATAAGACAGTGTTGACATCCATGATAGGCCTCTTGCCTAGACTAAAATCAAATAAATAGAGAAGTAGGAGCTCAGAGTGCTGGTCTGTTTCATAGGCAGCTGGGTAAGGCTTGCTGTCTGTCCCTGTGTGACGCAGTTCCTTGGCACACCCATTCCCAAGGGCACAGAATCCAGCCCACCAGCTGGGCCAAGATTGCAGCCCTCTCCAAAACAGGTGGTTGTCTGCCTTTGTCCAGGCACAGGCAGCTGTGTTGCATTTTCTGCTGTCAATGCTGCTCTTGATTCTTTTCCATTGTCTCAGTCTCAGCATTCTTGCCAAGCACAAAGACTGGGAACAAGTTCCTTGGGTATCTCTTGGTGGTTGTAAAGTCCTGCTTGACAGTAGACAAAAGCTTTAAAGAATACCCTATCCTGCCCTGGGAAAGAACTCTTAGGATAAGTGAAAAGATTATCTCTTGAGGACCTGTATGAAGCTGTCACACCATGGTGGCTGATAGCTCAGTAATCTCCTTCCTCCTTCCTGGTAAGGAGGTGTACCTCACTACTTCCAAGCTGTTGCTGTTGTGCTTCTGCTGATTTCCGGCCCAGCCAACACCACTGATCCTCGCTGTGGGTGTAAAGGACCACTGGTTTCATGGGTTCTCCTTGTGAATGAGGGTGGGGGGCGGTGTTACTAGACCACTGCTTCCAGAGTAGCTCAGGCAGGATAGAGATTGGCAGGAGAGAAGGAGCCTGAGTGTGGAGCACCCGGAACCTTGGCCAAGGATGGCACTCTTTACAAAGCCTCAGCTCTGTCCCTCAGAAGGAGCTACCAGTGTAAACGGTAATTATAATCAAGTATTATTAGCTAAGGAGGGCAAAGGCAAATTTGGAATGAAAAAGGGAGCCAGAACTGCCACAGAGACTCTATCCTTCATGCTAGCCAGGAGGGCCAGGTGCCAGCTCTTTCCCTCACCATAGAGATGGTACAGATAAATGCCAGTCTTCCTGTTGGAAATAGTCCTGAGACACAGCCCTGAGACCAACAGATAAAGAGTGTTTTCAAGAAGTTGGGAAGTTAAGAGCCACAGATTGTGTGGGCAGAACATGGGACCACTGGGAAGGGAAAGCTGGCTGCTCTTCCTTCCACTCAAGATGCCCAGGAGGGCCCCAGCAGCGAGACTGATTGAGCCACACCCAGAAGCACAGCTTAGAGAGGCTGCTGAAGAGAGTCCGGGTGCTGTGGAGAAGTCCATTTCAAACACTGGCCTTGTTGACCTTCTCAGTCTTTATCCCTCTGTATGTTTGTCCAGCTCCAAGGAAGAACCTAGAACAAACAGTGACTCAGTTATCCTTACCCAGTCCCTAGAAAGAAAGAGCTGGCTGGAAACCATTCTTTTAACTTAAAGGCAGAATCAGTGACATTTAGTCACCAGAGAAGGGTGTCTTCAACTCTGATCCGTTATTACAGGACCCAGATTTGGAAACAAGTCCAAAACTTGCCTTGTCATTGTCAGGCTCACTGGCCACAGAAACAGAGCAGTATAGGCAGATCTCAAACTCAAGTCTTGGCCTCCCAAATTCTAGGATTATAGGTTTGTACCTGTAATCACACACCCAGCTGTGATCCCTGTTATAAGTAGCCCAGTCCCGGGCTTTAAAGGAACAACACGTGCTGCCTAATTGGAATATTTTGTGGGGGTCCTTGGCATCTGGTGTCATGTTGATGGTCCCAGAACAGACTGGTTCTTCTGAAGGTTCCTTTCTGAGCTAGGAAGAAGGTTCTTGGTCACGCGGCATGTGGTTTGTTGTAGGTTGATGTGAACAGTTTGTTGTCACTAACTAGCCCTGAGTAACAGGAATTACAGAGGAGGGATTTGGCAGAGCCCCACATGGTATTGCAGCCTGTCAATAAATCTTGACAAGTTTGTAAATCAAAGGCTTCTTGGCAGTTGGCTTCACATAGACATAATGCAGCCAGGATTTGCTCACCAAAAAGTGCTGTTTTAGGCCCTGCAGTTTGCGTCTGGCCATTTGCCTTTCCCTAATACAAGGGTACCTCTCACCTTTGCCCTCCAGTAGCCTTTAGATCCCACAGAAATAACTCTGTGAAGAGGGGTCTGAATAAAGAGTTCAGTGAGCATGAGGTCTGCAAGCAGATAGAGCAGAGAAAGAGAAACCTCTACCTGGAATGATAGGCTCTATACAACTAGATCTGTGCTGCCTTCTACACAGGCAGCCCAACCTCCCATTGCAGTTCTCTCTCATCTAGGCCTCTGTTGACTCATCAGGATTAGAAAAGAAGCCCCTCATAACTTTCCCCAAACCCTCCTTCTTCTGGCTTCTTTCATCATTTGTTCCCTGGGGATGTTCTGTTGTCAAAGGAGGGTGATGGTGCAGGCCCCAGGTTGCAAACTGACATACTAGAGTATGTCATATTCTACTTAGTCTGCCTTAGCAAAACACACAGACCTGGTGGCTTAAACAACACAGGTTCATTTTCTTACAGTTCTGGAGCCTGGAATGTCAAGAGCAAAGTAGAGGTTTTCTGAGAAGATTAACTTCCTTGAGTATAGATGCCTACCATCTCACCATGCCATCACTGTGTTTCTAAGAGTCTCTCTCTCTCTCTCTCTCTCTCTCTCTCTCTCTCTCTCTCTCCCTGTCTCTGTGTCTCTGTCTCTCTCTCTTCTTATAAGACCATAGTTCTATCAGGTTAGGACCCATCCTGAAGCCTCCCTTAACCATGTCTACCTCCTAAACAGTGGTGTTGGAGCTAAAAATATAAAGTTGAAAGAACAGAGCTCTTTAAGCCCAAGCTCTTCAAGAACTTGACTTTCTTACTTGTTCAGGAGCACTGTGAGATGTTTTAGATATCACTTAGGCTGTTACTAGATGTAATTAGTAAATGTAAAAACTGTTGTTTAGTTGGTTATATGGTTATCAGTGGGTGAAGATACCTGACTCCATGCCATAGGAGTCATATGATAGAAGGAGAGAACCAACTCCCCACACATTATCCTCAGACCTTAACATGCCTACCGTACCATGTGAAATACACACACTGTACTAAATAAGTATTTAATAAATATGAAGTGCTTGTTTTGTCTTAGGAGGTTGGAGAGATGGCTCAGTTGCTGTTCTTTTTATTTCCCTTTTTAATTGAAAATTATTTTGTTTTGTTTGTTGTTGTTATTATTATTTGTTTTGTTTTGTTCTTTTGACACAGGGTTTCTCTGTGTGATCCTGTCTGTCCTGGAACTCACTCTGTAAAGCAGGCTGTCCTGAAACTTAAGAGATCCACCTGCCTCTGCCTCCTGAGTGCTAGGATTAAAGGCATATGCCACCACTGCCTGACGGGAAAGAAGATTTATGCAATATATTCTGATCACACTTTTCCTTTCTGCCAACTCTTCCCAGATCCTCTCAACTCATCTAATTCCATCAACTTCATGCCTTTTCTTTTTCTCTCCTAAAAAAAGAAAGAAAAAACAGTAAACACATACACATAAAACCACATAAATGGAAACCAGAATATACAAGCAAAAGACCAGTAAGATAAAATTATGCCCAAACAAAGCAAGGTGAGAAAAACATCTACAAGAATGCAATTGAGTTTGTTTAGTGTTGGCCCACTACTCCTGGCATGAGGCACGACCCTGAAGTATGGTCAGTATTATACCCAGTGAAATTTCATTGGAGAAAATCAATTTTTTCTTTGCAAGCAGGTATCATTGTAGATGGCTTCTTGGTTAGAAGTGGTAACTCATGTCCATGTTCTTCTTTTAGCCTTGGAACCCCATGTAGTCTAGGCTAGCCTTGAATTCTTGATCCTTTTGCCTCTATTTACCAATTTGCTAGCAATATAGGTATTTACCATTCTGCCTGGGTAGGGAGGGATCTTGCTATGCAAGGCAGTCTGTTTGTGGTGATGTGTCCTGGGCCTTATCCATGCTAGAGAGGCACTTTGTCAGTACTGAATCCCCAGCAGCAGTTCTCTTTAGTCCTATATTTTCATGTAGGATTGTAGCTTTTGGTGACAAGTCAGTGTAGAGAGATGAGTGGTCACTGCTTCCCTCTGGCATGGGGAGAAACTGCCTGATAAGACTTGGCAGCCCAGAGAACTCAGCAGCAAGCAAGACAGCTTGCCTGTCTTGCTGACTCTGGTCAAGAAGGCTCTAGGTCTAGAAAAGAAAGTGGCATGGCCATTCCACTCCAGGCAGATAAGATTGTGGAGGAACCTCCATTCTTCCTCATGGCCCCTTGGCAATAGGAAAAGACTCAGGGGCACACACATCTGCTTTTGAGAACTGAGTGATCTCTTCTGGCAGCTGGCTATGGCACATGCTCTCCAGTAAGTCTCTTATTCACTCTCTGTACCATTGTGTTTCTGAAGGATACTTGGAACCTGCTTCGTATCTGGTATTGGTGTTATTTATTGCCTCTTTGCTCCAAGGAGAAACCTATTGAAGGCATTTGGGATATTCAGGATATCTGAGGTGCTTTAATCTTGAGCACTTTAATGGGGGAGCTATCTGGACGTGGTCTCCTTTCCGGATGGACCACCCCACCAAAGTCCCCAAGCCCAGGACTTGTCAAGAATGCTTAACCACCTCTCTAATACCCCTCGCCTTTTATTTCTCACCTTTCCCAATGGATCTTCAGGGCCTTAAACTCTGGTATTGAGTACTACTGGGACCAGCTAAATGAGACGGTCTTCACTGTCCACTCAAACAGCAGGAGCAGCGAGCGGCCTGGGTAAGCTAAATTCAAAGGAGTTGTCCTGTGTTTGAGGGTCTCTGGGTCTTTGCTTAACCATTGATCTGTTCTTTGCGTTCATTGATCTGTTACCTGTCTTAGGCTTTTGCATACAGTCGCAAGAAAACTGTGGCTAAAGAGATTGCTCAGTAGTTGGGAGTGCATGCTGCTTTTACAGAGGACCTGAGTTTGGTTTCCAGCACCTCTATCAGGCAGCTCACAAAACACCTATAGTTGCAGGTCCAGGGAGACCTGATGCCTCTGGTCTCTGTGGGCACTCCCATCTGCACTCCCATGCCCACACCCATACATAGATACATATATCCAATAATTACAAAAGAAGACAAAATCCTTGCCCTTATCATTTTATTATAGAGCACATGCTTTCTCTCATTCTGGCCATGGTGTCTGGGAACACTTGGAATGGGAATAAAGGGCCCAGGAGAAAATGCTGCTCCATGAAATCTGCTCATTTGCCCACAGGGAATTGGGGAGTGAGGTATCGCTATCAGATGACTAGGCCACAGGGACCAAGCTGCTAATGGCTGTAGCCTGGGGTCCACTGAGAATAGGAATCTGACACTGATTATCATTTTCACTTAATCCACTGGTGAAACCTGGGACATGGTAAAAACAAAATGCTGGTTCAGTGGGAGACTTAAGGCAGGTCCTGTTTCCTGTAGGGATTGCAGGGCCAGCTACATCAATAATCACAGAAGAAGCTAAAAGTGAGTATTTGGTGAGTCTCAGAAGTCTGGGACTCAGTTTTGCTATCTGTCCTAGACTCAAAATCTTTGTCTAAGAAATAGCCAAAGAAAGGCGAGCACTAGCCTTGGACCCTGGCCTTACTTTTAGGTAGCTGTGCTCCCAACCTAAAAGGCTTTTTTCATAGCTGCCATAAGGATGTGTTTGTAGTATCATGGCTTTCCCTTCTTAGGCTGCAGGCCTGGAACACGTATGGAATCCAAGAGTTTTGTAAGGGACCGCATCCCAAGTCCTTCCTGACTTCAGTCTCTTTTTCACTTTAGAACCAGCAGAGCCACGTGGAGGACAGACAGAGACATGGGCTTGATGAATGCAATTGGGTTACAGCCTCGGAACCCTACAACCTCTGTGACGTCTCAGGGCACGCAGACTCTGGCCCTCCAGTTGCAGAATGCCGAAACACAGACTGAGAGGGAGGAAGAGGAAGCAGGTACAGCATCCTCAGGTCCTGGTGAAGGTAAGAGCCTTGAACAGCTAGCAGGGGACATTTGACAGGAAATCATCTGCGTTCTCAGGGAGAGTTAGACATGTGCTCCTGGAGGACCCCGGCTGTTTACCAAAGAGTATGCATGGAAAGAGGGGGAGTGCTCTTTCCAGAACCAAGCCAGGTACCTGTCCCCTAGCTTATCTCCCCCCAGCTAGCATGGCATATTGGTACTGCTGCAAGTGAGGTTCTTTTGAGACAGTGTTTTGATGCTCTTTATATGGCTGGCATACCAGCAGTCCTTCCTTTCACCTACTTCAGGTATGACCCTGCCAGCCCCAGCCATGGCTCTCTGCTGGCCTCACACATTTAAGAACCAATTAGCACTTCCCAGTGGTAGGGCTCAAGCCACTTTGGAACCCATCAGCAGCTGTGTTAAGCAGGCTGTTCTCACTCTCCTCACCTCCTACCTCCAGCCCCCTTGCTGCTCCTACCTCCAAACAAGGCAGTATCTAAACAGACTTTTTCTAGGTCTTGTCGAGCCATTTGCTTGAAAGACCATGGAAGGAGAAGCCCTGATGTGCATCAGGCCAAGAGTAACAAATTTGCTTATGTTGCCTCCAGGGAATGGCTTTCTACACTGCAGCTCTCCACGGGGCACTTTCCTTTTCCCTGCCATGAACTGAAATGTTCAAAGTTAAATCCCTTTTTGGTCTGCAGCCTAACCCATCTTCTACATCTGAGGCCCAAGGCTCTTTGTGGAGTAGAAACCCCTTGCTGGGGACATGAGCAGCTGGCAGTATTAGCTGAACCAGCCAGCTGCAGCTTTGAGGCTCAGTTAGGGGGAGACAGATGAAGTCTCATTCAGCCATCTCCAAGCCCATTTTTGCAAGACTCTGAGCCACCCTGGAGTCTGTGAGTCTTAGAGGCCTGGATCCTAAGTGCTTAGGAAACCACTACTTCAGCAGAGCCAGAAAGTACTCTCAGCAGAGGCAGTAGCCTCTAAGAGGACCGGATGAGGCAAATGTTAGGGAGGTGTACCTACAAGGAAGAGATTCTAAGAGTGAGCCTCCATCCTTCCCCTTAGAGCTTGGAGTTCAGTGATATTAAACAACTAACACCTAAGCAGCTGACAACTTCAGTGTGACAGGGATCTTGGGAGGGTCGAGTAAGAGTCAGGACTTATCTGTGGGTCTGGGAAACATTCCAGAGGAAGTGGACCTAAGCTGAGTCCTTGGGATGAGCTTCAGTTAGAATGGGCTGGCAGGGGCATTTCAGCATGTGCAAAAGCACCGAGTTAGAAACTATGACATGCAGACAGAGGCAGGTGTTGGTTTGAGGCCATCCTGGCACATGCCGAGAACTGCGGCTACCTGTATGAGTAGGAGTGCTTATAGGAGTTCCAGGTGGAGGGGTGTCTCTGCCCCAGAGGTGGAGTGCAGCAGCGGCTCTGTGGGTAGGGTTTGCTGCTGAGATGTGTACCCTCTGGTGTCTCACCTCCCAAAGGATCTTTTGTCTTTGCCTTGCTGTTTCTGGACTAACCTTTATTTCTTCTTGTTTGGGAGTTGGGGACCTAGGGTAGGTAGAAGGGTAGAAGCTGTCTTTTTCAAGCCTTGGGGACTAGACCCTCATTTCTTGGCCCCTCCCCATCCCTGGCTTCCTTAAAGCAGAACAGGTAATGGTGGAGATGCTGGCCGAGAATCCCGCCAGGCAGGAGCAGCAGGAGTCCTGGCAGCGTGGGGAGGGAAAACCCCCATGCTTCTGTTTTTGGCCCTGCAAACTTCTCTCAGAGCTCTGGACCTCCCATCCATCTTTTCCATGAATAGTAGCCCCTTTCAAAAATAAACAGGAAAGGGAAGTATAGGTTGCAGGGGGCGGTGGTGAGAAATTGGTCACTAAGTGTCTCTTCTGGAACCTTGTACCCATGGAGCTTATCCCATGGCTCTGATGCTTGCTGGGGAGCCAGTTGTCAGTGTTCTTCTTGCCTACACTTCGTCATCCAGAGTCAAACACAGCAGCTCCTTCCTCCTGGAGTTGACTGAACTGGTAGCCAGGTCTCCAGGAACATGCATTGGAGAAGGCTCATTGAGGTTAGCCCTTCTGGGCTTGGCTTTACACACCCCCTACTAGGGCCTATATTTGTTAGTTAACCAGGTCTGGTTGTGGTAATTGTCCTGTAGCTAGCCTTTTAAGCCCAACAAAAGCAAAGACTCTTGTTTCCCAGTTTAGCTAATATGCTTCCATTTTCTTTTTCTAAAAATCTGAGGGTTTAGGAGTGTAGCTCAGTGGCAGAGCACATGTGTAAGGTCTGGTTTAGTCGCCTGCACTCCCACCTCTACAAACAACTAAAATCCCTTCAACGCATCTAAGACTTTGAGAAGCTCTCCACAGGGACATTTGTTCATTTGTGCTTGTGCTTGTCAGGCTCTAATCAAGACCTTTGAGCTGCTGTAGGACTTGAGTGTGACCATTATGGAAGAGCTAGAACACAGCACATGCGTGCACATTATGTGTATACACACATACACACACAGAGACACAAATGGGGACTGGTTGGGGGTACACAGTTTCTAGTTCCTTTTTCTTTTCTAGGGAATAAAACCCCCAGAATTAAATACAGTTGAAAAGCATTATGGAAAGTTGCTGATCCCACCTGTCTTCTGTGTTCAAAACGTACCTTAGAACTTGCCAAGGAAACAGTCTGCCAACAGCACTAAACCCATCTTCTGTTTCTTAAGCTCAAAAAGAAATACTTTAGCTACAGGGGAGGAGGCAGAGAGTTACCCGCTGTGGTCACCATTGCTCTTGGATTCATATCCATTGGGTTTTAGTATTTCTTTTCTCTTGAGACTGTGGCAGCTGCCTCTAGTGGCTCTTAGCCTCAGCTTATGTTCACACTCAGCCCCGGAAGCCAGTCCTCTGTACATCTCTCCATCTCCCACCCAGTATTTTTTAACGTGCACTTTGTCTCACATTGTGTGAGACACTGTGAACCCAAAGATTTTAGAAACAGAATCACATGGATCACATAATGAAACCATTATGTCTCATCCCTCAAAGGACAAGCCCATAAGGGAAATAGACATAGAAAGATTCCTCCAGAAGGAGAGTAAGAGCCAGTTTTCAGAGTCTCTTTGGTAGGGAGCCCTGTATGCAGCATAGGGACCCATTTTTAGTCATCCTTACATGTATTTGGCAAATCAACATTTCATCCCAGACCATGTGTTACACTGCACAGAGATGGTGAGATCTCCGGAAGGTCCAGCAGCAAGAGATATTGTAATCACTAGTAACTGAGTCAGAATGCCAACTGTTATAGCCTCTACTCTTGGGTGAAAGATGTGGAATTTATACTGATCCTTGAACCTGAGTTGACTTGAGACTGAAGGGATGAGTGAGAGCTTGTAGAGTGTCTCAGTATGCACAAACAGAGAGCATAGCTGGGTCAGCTTTAGTAAAGACTGTTGTGTGCACTGGATAGGTCAAGAGGCATGGTCAAGAAAATGACAAAGGACTAGTCAGAAGGTCCTCAGCTGTCAAAGAGACTTTTGAGAGCCCTGAAGCTGCTGAGCATTGAGCAAGATGTAGACTTAACCAGAGCTCAGTTAACTAAGAGTTAATAGTAGCCTGGCGGTGGTGGCACACGCCTTTAATCTCAGCACTGTCGAGGCAGAGGCAGGAAGATCTCCGAGTTCAAGGCTAGCATGGTCTGTGGAGTAAGTTCCAGGACAGCAGGGCTACACCAAGAAATCCTGTCTAGAAAAAAAGAAAACAGAAAAACAGAACCGTAATGACAACAGCATGGAGATAGGCTGGAAAGAGAAAAGGGAATCTGTTAAGGGTGGGGGCGAGCTGTGGACAAACAGCAGAAGAAGACTGAGTCTCATACTTGAGTGCTGGCCACAGGGCGCTCTGGGGCTGAGCTGTGTAGCAACTTTGGGATCGAAGGTAGCTTTTCCTCCCTGGAAATAACCACTGGGAAGTTCTGGGAGTTGAACAGACACGGTTGACATGATGGGTTCAATGCCCATAAACCCCAGGCCAGCCAACTGCAGATCCCCAAGGAGCAAGAGAGTTTCTCGGAGAGCGTTTGTGAAGCAGTGGAAATTGTCTGGAGCATAGGAAGGTCCCCAAGGGCAGTTCACAGATAGAGGTATCACTGAGGCCTTCCCTCTTGCCCTGTCCTGCTGTCTGAAGGCTTAGCTCTTGGGACTCAGAGCCCTTCAGGTTTTTTGTCTTCCGAGTGCAGAGCTGAAGCTTACCTGTTCAGGGCAAAGTAGGGGTGGGCAGCTGTCCTGGGGGTTAAAGAGCAGTTTCCTGGGGACCTCAGGAAAAGCGAGCTGGATAAAAGCCAAAGCCCAGGCATAGTCCTCACTGCTTAGTACTGAGGAAATTGATCAAGACATAGAGGAAGATACGAGCAGGTACCTGCCAGCTTCCATGCAGGAGAAGTGGGGCCTTAGAGCTAAGTCATGACATTATGAAGGTGGCTGGCCTGGAAGTCTGACTCAAATAAGCAAGCACAGAAAAGACTCAGGGCAGAGGACAAAGAAAACCTTGTAAATAGATATTGACAAGTAAGCTTGAAATAAATAACTCATCCATGAGTACCCCAAAACTGAAGAATCTGCCCAAACTGGGCAGGACAGCCAAAGGAAACAAACCAGCACATTGGTGGAGCTATGCCTGGCTTGGCAGGTGGGATCCTTGACTGTAGCTGCTCAGTTTGGTGAGGAGTAGGGAAGACTTGGGGTATAGTTGCCTCTGCTGCCCTAGGTGCCAGCTGTCTGGACTAGTATTTCCTCTCCAACATTATGCAAATGCTAAGGGTCTCAGCCAAGTCCAGCCAGCCACCAAATGAACAACAGAGCTGTGATTTGACTCAAAATCATGTTTGTTCTTTCAGGGAATGTCCAGGTCTCATGGGGGAATAGACCCATGCTCTCCCTACCTAGAGCTTCAGGTTGGAGTCACAAGTCTAGGTTGGCAGTTGGTTTTCTCTGGGGAAATATGTTATCAGGCATGCAGCCCAGGGAGAGCAGTAACTAGGGGATAATGCATGCAGAACTATGGGTAAAGGGAGAGGAGAGGAGACAGAACTTCTAGAGAGCAGTTAAACTCAGCTCCCTCCCAGGCTTTTAGAAGATAACAAAAACAGGGCAAACCGAAGGAAGATAATGTTGTGAAAAAGCATGGCAGACTGCCTTGAAACCACACCCTGCAGGGTGCTTGTTTCATCCCAAAGACTAGGTGGCATGTTGCATTTCAGGACCAGGCATGGAAGTCATCCCAGAGAGGGAGAGAATAGACAAAACAAATGGTTTGGTCCTCTGCCTCTCCCTCTGCCTCTCTTCAAAGCAACCTGCACTCTGAAAGGGGCTAAAAGGGTTAATTAAAGCCAGCTCTGCCTCTAAACAGTTGCATTGCCTGGCCATTCCCTCCCCAGTGAGAGGTATGAACAGTAGTCCTTGGGGCTCAGCTTGTTCTTCTTTTAGGACTTCACTTTTCACAATGGTGGAATCTTACTCCTGTTTTTTGCCTAGAATCTCCCAACATCTGCTAGCTGCTGCTGCTTGGCTCAGGCGCAGACCAGCCACTAACTACCTTCCTCTGCTTTGTTCCTTCCAGGCGAGGGCTCAGAATATGGTGGCAGTGGGGAAGATGCCCTCAGTCGGATCCAGAGGCTAATGGCTGAGGGTGGAATGACAGCTGTGGTACAGCGAGAACAGAGCACCACCATGGCCTCCATGGGTGGCTTTGGCAACAACATCATCGTTAGCCACCGTATTCACCGCAGCTCCCAGACAGGCACAGAGTCAGGGGCTGCTCGTACCTCCTCGCCCCAGCCCTCCACCTCGCGGGGACTGCTCTCAGAACCTGGGCAACTGCCAGAGAGAGGTCTAAGTCCCCAGACAGCCTCCTGGGACCAGCCTAGTACCTCTGGGAGGGAACCACCCCAGACAGCCTTGCCCTCTTCCTCTCCTGTCCCCATTCCAGTCGCCCTTGCCAGCAATGAGGGACCAACCATGCACTGCAATGTGACCAATAACAGTCACCTTCCTGAGGGTGATAGCAGCAGCCAGGAGGAAGCTGCAGGCCCTAGTGGGGAGCCACGGAACCGGTAGAGACAAAACCAGACACTGGTACCTCCCCTCAAGCTGCTGAGCAGAAGCTGGACCTCACAGCTGGCTGGGAACTGTATACACAGAAGAGCTGATGCCTGCATCGAGGAACAGGAATAATGAGAGGGTGGGGCATGGAGCCACTGGGTAAGGGGCAGTCCAAGGGGCAAGGCTGGCCTAGGGTACAAGACCCCTCCAGGATCTGGAGCCCAGAAGAGCCACATTGCTGGGTTGGAGTGAATGAAGAAGCAAGTGGTAGTCTCTGCCATGGATCCCCCCCCTTTCTCCTAGGATCACTGGCCTAGGGGACTCAGCCCTGGGCAGGATCCCCAGTCTTCCAGATCTACCACACCATCCTGGACACAACAGTGGGACAGTTCTTCCCTGTCCACCACTCGGGACAGAACCACCAGGAGCAGAGGAGCAGCCTTCCCCCTCCCCCAATTGCTCTGTCTCTGAACCTTCCAGAGTCCCAGCCTCTCTTTATCCTCTCGGCCCACAGAGACATAAAAGTCAGACCTAGCTTCCATGTGGGGGACTTCCTACACTCACAAGTGAGGATACCTGGAGTGAAGGAAGCAGCCTGCTTGCCTGACACAGGATGGAGTCAATGCACAGTGGTGGACAGGTCCTCAGGAGTGGGGGGTGTAGGCTGGCCCGCCCCCAGCTTGTCCACCAAGCTCCCCCCTCCCTAAGGCCCTCCATGCAGCACCTATGGGTGTCAGTATTACCTAAGCCTAGGCCAAAGCCAGTCCAAGGTTGGAGGGAGGAGATTCCAGGTCAGAATGTGAGGTCTTGGTCTGTGATTTGAGGTGTTGCATGTGGAACCCTGAACTGTATGTGTAGTTTTTAGTGGAGAAATCAAGGCTCTAATCATTTTGTTTTTAGTATGAAAATGTGATTTCCTTTCTGTTTGTCACTCATCATAGAAACGTTTTGGTGGGAGGAGAGGGGATAGTGTACTGCTAATGAGGGAGACACCAAAGATCTACATCATTAAAATGATGACATGCCCCTCGACAGGCTCCTGCTTGTTTCTGTGGAAAGGGGAGGAGGGAGAAGGGTTTGGGAGTTGGGTGTGGAGGGCATCAAACTGGGTGGCCTGGCTTTCCTGGGCATTTCAGTGGACCTAGTACAGGAGTACTCTCTGACCCATTAGCCCAAGTCAGCTGGTTGAGTTCTGCTTCTTAGGACCTGATGCAGATTGGGGCAGCTGGCTAGTTCAGAATGATGGAGGGGGTCATCCTGATGGCTTCCTACCCAGGACTGTGGGCTCGGAGTGACAATTGGGTAACCAATAGCTAGACTTTCTCTCTCCAGTCATGGAGGCCACTGTAGCAAGTTCTGGGCAGCTGGGAGGGGACTGTGGGCTTGTTCTGTAAGTACCCTTGAAGGAGCCATTGTTGGGTGGTAGACCTGCCCCATCCATGGGTCTTTGCTTCTTCAAGTGCCAAGCCAGTTTAGAGGGTAAGAGAGGCCTTAAAGAGGAGTAATAGAAAACCTGAGTAACACTGGGATACTTGTCAGCAACCTGGACTACCACAGGCAGGGTACTGGCAGTCGTCTAGAAGGAGGTGGAGGTAGGACAGTGAGAATTAAGGTTCTGTCACAACAGAGATGAGACCAAAAGTGGGCAAGCAATGACAAAACTGAGGTGCTGTGAACTGTATCTGCAGTCCACTGCCGAGTGCCCTGCCAGTGAACTTTGTCAGTGGGCATCCACCAGCTGTGTGACTTTGGACAAGGCATCTGCCTTTTCTGATTATGCCCTTGCAGTGGCCTAATCTTTGCAGGAGTGCACTAGGAGACTGCCTCAATTTACTTTGAGTCCCATAGTTTCAAACCGTTCCAACCCACAGGGCACAAACATCTTGAGACTGACCTTCCTTGAAGGGAAAATTGAGTTAAATATGAAAGGGTAGAAGGACACCCGCTGCGAAGCCTACTCTTTCCTCCCTACTGCTACTACAAACAGGAAAGATGACCTTGGCGTGACGGTAGAGACTGAATCTCTTGAGTGTGAACAACACGCCGAGGGGGCTCCATCTACCCCTCCACAGACCCTGGAGTGATGACTTCAGTCGTCTCAGGTCACATAAGTAACAGCCAAGGTGCACAGCAGGCACCGTCTCAGCACAGAAGTCAAGGCGAAAGGGAAGCTGGATGGGATCTGGACATGCTCTAGTGGGTTGGGAACAAGGATGTGAACATAGAGGTCTAGATGTGGGCATGCCTCACCCACCTCTATGGTTGGCCCCGGGTAAACCAGCCACACCTTGTCTCCACAGCAGTCCCTTTCCTTAGGAAGCCCAATACCTAGAGAGAGCCTCCTCAGTGGTCACAACCATGTGCTACCAGCAGGGCCAAGACTGGCCATCCATTAAGAAATAAGCGGAAAGAGTTCGGAGATCCAGTTAGACCAGAGAGAGAGCAGAGAGACTAGACTAGTTGCAGTTCAGCTTTCCAGTGTTCATCTGTGCGCTCTGAGTGGGTGGGTGCAGGCCCCAGTCTCGCAGACTGGGTTAGTTTTGCCTGTGGTTGAAGGCATTTCTATATTCTGGAACCTCCTGTCCTTAGCAAGCCTGGATGCCCTGTGCCCTCATGTGACTAACATTCTGGCCTCTCCCATACACACAGCAGTGTCCTGGGAGCATCCCGCTCCTGACCCCAGGGAGGGGATATATTAAAATGGAAGATCTATGCCATGAGTCAACTGAGCCTTTCATCTGTGAAATGGGGGGAGAACAGTTTTTCAGCTTATGAGGCTCATGGGAGAGCAAAGCGCCCATGGAAGGAAAGATGGCTTCTTGAACTAGTCCACCTATCCAATTCTAGCCAGAGTCTGACGAGAGCTGACCTCCGGTTCCTCTTCGGCTTGGAGAAGCCTGCTCTAGGAGCCCTCTCTCACGGGCTCAGCTCCCCACCCATTCTCTATTGAAAGGTCCCTCGGTGCTCTTGTTTGTACCGCCACAGCCACCACACCCCCTAGGTACCCTTCGTAGGTAAAGGAGAGGCAGGACTCGGGTAGTTTTTCCAAGAAAAGGAGTCAGCAGGCTTCAGCTTAATCAGCTGTTGACACTCAAGAAGCTTTGTGCTCAGAGTCCAACCCTGGCTGGCCCAGCTCAAGGGGAGCAAGTGCGGCCGGCCGGCCAGGGCCCCGGTGGCTCTGTCCGAGGTGCTGAACCCGCCTACTTCGGGCCTAGCTTGGTACTGCCGCAGGAGGTCTGGGAGAGCCGGCCCGCGCTCCGGGTCTGTTCTGTCCCAGGTGACCTTGGGCACCTGGCTTCCCCTCCTAGGCAGTGGCGAACATCTCTGTGCTGCGGCTGTGGGAGGCTCTCGTTTTCTTCGGCCTCGGGGATAGTGCACGTCCTCTCTTGCCAGGCCCCGACGGCAACAGCCCTTCGGCTGCCCGGCGGCCAACAGGCAGCTCTCTGCCCCGACAGAACCACGGTGGCCGAATCCGCCCGGCCCCGCACCCTCTCCTGTTGGGGCCAACCCCTCAAAACCGCGGTTTGGTTAAACCGTGAGCGGGACAACAAAAGGGCTACAGCCACCGAGAGGCGCGAACACACTTCGGGGTCCGGACTGCGTGGTTTAGGGCGGAGGTGGGGCGCGTCGCCAGACTTGCCGCCTGGTTCCTCCCCAGCCCGCGAGGGGGCGCCTTGTCCCCATGACAACGCGGACAGCCCCTACCCCACCCCCCGGAGGGCAGCACCCGCGGCTAATCCCCGCCGGAGACGGTGGGCCGTGCCCGCGGCGCCGGAGTTCGGAGGCGCCGGCCGTCCCCCGGGAAGGGTGCGCGCGGCCAGGGTGTCCGGGGCTCCAGGTGGTGACCCCCCGAGCGCGTCGCCGCTGGGTGACCGGCCCCGGGCGGGCGGTGCGTCCCCACCACGATTGGCTGCTTCCCTGTGACATCACGCGGCTCGGGGAAAAGTGCGAGCGTGAGCGCGAGTCGGAGCCACAGCGCCGGGAGCCGCAGGCGAAGCAGGGGCCGCCCCTCGGCACCCCGTCCCCGCCCCCGGCCCGCCGCCCGGCGGCCACCCCGCGGACCCCCGGGGCCTCCGGCCTGGCCCGCCGTCTGTCCGGCGCCAGCGGAAGCGGGACCGAAGCGGCGGGTGAGTAACTCCGCGGCCGCGCGGGGGCGGGGGGCTCCCAGGCAGGACGGCGACGCGGGGCTCCCTGGGACGCTCCGAGGGTCCCCGGAGCTGGGTCCGGCTGGAACGGGCTCCCAAACCCCCTCGAGGGCGCAAGCGGAAGGGGCGGAGAGCGAGCCGGGGCGGGAGGGACCCCCCCCCCTGGAAGCGGGGTCCCGCGTCCCTGCAAGGCTCCTCCAGGTGGAACCCCTGGAGATCGGGGGGCGCGCAGAGGCCGGGGGGCGGGAGAGTACTCGCCCGCGGCCCCCACCCCGAGGCGGGGCTGCCGTCGGGTCAGGACCCGCACACCCTCACTCCCTCGGCCGCCTGCCCTGCTGGGCGCCGGGGGCGGCGGCCCCGAAGCGCCCCTTTTCCCGCCCGGCTCCCTGCCCTCCCTGCCCACCTCGGTCCCCCGGAGCGCCCGCACGCCCTCGCCGGTGGAGTCCTCTGTCCGCGACCTTGAGCCCCGACGGAAGGCACCCCCGTCCTCTCCCGCCACCCTTCCCCTCCTCCGGGTCTAGCCCTCGCCTTTAGCCACCCGAGGAAGCCCGGGCCCCGAGCCCCGTCCTCCCGGCTGGCCGAGGGAGTGTGGGGCGCCGCGACTTGGCCTGCCATCCTGCACCCCTCTCCCCTCTCCCGAACGACCGAGGCTTCTGGCCGCCTCGGGGACGGAAGGTCCGGGGGCCGTGGCTCTCCTAAAGTGATCGCCTAATGATCGAACCCCCGGCCCACGGGCCACCCCACGGGCGCCCAGAGCACCCCTTCCCCGGCTCGCCCCCCGGCAGGGGAAGGGGCCGGAGGACCCGGGGAAGCGCGGTGCCCACGCCCAGGCAGGCTACGGGAGCTGCGTCCCTGGGGGTTGACGGGAGGGCGGGGCATCCGAGAGCCTTGGCCCAGACGGACCCCAAGGGTGAGCCCCGGGGCGGCCCCGGAGGGGTGCCCGAGCCCCCCGCCCGCTCTCGGCGCCTGCTGGGGCTGGCGGGGCTGGGCAGGGCCTCTCCGGCAGGCGCGGGGTGCAAAGTGAAGGAGAAACAAGCGCGCGCTCCGGACCCAAGCCTCGACCCGGCACCCCGCCCGGCGCTTCTGCCCTCCCCTCGGTGCCCTCGGTGCCCCGAGCCCAGCCCGGTGACCCTCACGCCCCGTCTGGGCGACTGTCGCACAAGTCAGTCCACGGCCGGGAGCGCGCGCTCCGGGTCTCGAGGGAAGGCAGACAGGAGGACCGGGTGGTCCGGCCACTCCGAAAAAACGGTCCCAAACCAGGGTTTCCTCGCGGCTCTGATTTCCGCCTTTCCCCAACCCTTAGCCCCAGCCGCAGGCCGGGCGCCCCCCCTCCGCCCCCCCCGCCCCGGGTCATTCCCGCCGCGGGCGCCGGCTGGGACCGGCCGTTCGCCGACGGGCTAGCCTGAGCCCCCTGCACAGAAGTTCGCCGCTGCAGCCTCCCCCCCCCCCGGCCAGATGCCAGGCCCGGGCCGTGGCGACCTCGGGCACGCACACACATGCGCACGCACGTGTCCGCACGGCGCTGGCAAGCTCACGCGCTCGGAGGCGCGCCGGTGGCCAGGCCTGGTGGTGCTCCCCGGTAGCCGCGCGTGCACACACGCACACACACACATGCACACACACACACCCCGCACCCGCTCCCCCGGCCTACGCGTTCCTTGACGGGCGCAGCTGGAATCCCAGCGCCCCAAAGTTTCTGGTCCTCGACGCCCTGCCCGAACCCAAGGAAGCTCTGTGGCCCCCGGGGGCCGCGGGGCCCGGCGTCGCGCCCTCCCCTCGCTCCCTGCCCCTGACTCTCTCTGTCTTCGCCGTTGGCGCCGGGACTCGGGGCCCGTGAGTGAGCGGCGGCCTCGGCTCGGGGTCGGAGCCGGCACCCGGGGGCCGACAGTGCCATCTAGCGGCGCGGGGCGTGCACGCCAGGCCCGCGGCGGTCCGCCTGGCCGGATCCCGGCAGGGCCGGGTTCAGGGGGAAGCCGCGCCCCGCGGGTAGTGCGGTCTGAACATCTCAAGGACAGATCGCCGAGGCCCGGAAAGAAAACTGGGACCGAGTTGAGAAAAGCGAGTTTTGCCCAGTGCGCATCTGGCCAGGACCCCGGGGACCCCAGCCCACCCACCGTTCGCTGGTCGCTCGCGGGTCTAAGGCTGTTTCTTGGTCCCAGGAGGACAGAAGGTCAAAGCCAAGTTGAGGGAGCTGAACGGACCGTGAGGGTTCCACACCTAAGATGCATGGGGGGGAGGGGGAGGGGTGCTAATCCTGACCCACCCTTTCTTCCAGACTGGATGGCTTTCATCCAGTCCGTTAGCACTGCGCGGTTTTCTGGATGAGGACCCTTGGCCCTGTAAAGCGAGGCTACCCGGAGGCCCTCGCCGCTTCCGGCTGCCCTAGGCGTTAAACCTGCTGGAGGAAAAGCTCCCGACACTCAAGAAAGAAGAGAGGCTGTGTTTTCCTCTCGCTCACATCTTGGTCACCCCACACACACACACACACACACACACACACACACATACACACACACCCCTTCCCACCCCCCTATCCTGCTCCTTGCTGCCTGTGTTCTGGCCCTGAGGGACTCCAGTGAGGCTTTCCTCGGTGTGTGCTAGCGGCTCCCCTGCTGGTTTCCCCCTGTCCCTGCCGGCGGGGGTCCGGGAAAAGGTAGGCTGGCTGCTGGGTGCTCCCACCCCGCCAGCTCAAAGGCTGAGCTCGAGGCTCCGTTTCGGAGCTGAACCGTCACTGCGGAGACTCTCGGAAAGACTGGCCTGTCTCTTGCGTGTGACTCCTTGGGTGACCTTGGAGATATCCTTAGCACCCCCTTCCTCCTGGCCTCCTTTGACCCGGGGATTTAGAACAAGAGAACTTCGCTTTGACACCAGAAGGCAGGGTTTTGTGTCTGCTGAGGCCGGGCTGGGGGGACTGAAGCCAAGTTTGGCGTGTGTCTGCAGCCCCCAGTGCCCTTTCCACTTGGAGGGCGAGCTGGGGCGCTAACCGGATCCCCTAGCTGGTCAAAGGCTTCGGCAGGGCAAGAGCCTCTATTTTGTAAACTGGGAACTAGTTCCCAGAGGGCAGATGGCTCTCCTCGGGCTGCGCAGCCGGACCTCGCTCTGGCCTCCTCTTGAACACAGACTTGGTGCCTCTTTTTCCACAGCAGGCTGCTGTACCGTCTCTTCCTCTTACACACACACACACACACACACACACACACACACACACACACAGCGCGCGCAGATGCACAGAACTGCGTATACGACCTGCGTGTGGCTGAGATGGGGCCTGTGTGCGTATGTGGAATGCTTGTGTGTTGGCGGGTGTGAAGGAGGCTGGGCTGAGCGGCTGCCCTGGCACAGCATGCTGGGCGTGGGCCCCCCTCACATGTATGGGAGAGGAAGGGGAGGAGGAGAGCTGAAGGGAGGCTGGTGGGGAGGAAGGCAAACTCAGGGGAGGGGCCTTGTTGGGCCTCAGCTGAGTTGTCCTCCTCCGTGTGGGATGTGACCTCTCAGGGGCTGGCTGTAGGTTCCCTCTGAGGTAAATCCCTCATCTTTTGGCTCCACACGGGAACTCGGACTGGCCTTGGTTCTTGGGAAATCAGACCCTTCCTCAGCTGCTGGGTCTTTTAGGCTTTTGGTTTCTTTGCTGGGAGCTGACAGCCCGAAGCTGCCCCTGTGTTGTCCACTGAGCTTCATGAGTCCTCTCACTATTCTTTTTCCCCTTTCTCTTCCTCCTTCAGGTGTCCCCGATCCCACCTCAGCTCCTCTGGTCCCTTGAATGACCTCCCTAGCCCTTAGACCCATCAGGTCCCATGTCTTAGCTCTAGGACCTCTTTCCCTGCTCCCCCAATGCACTCCACCAGCCACAAGGCATCAAGGAAACATGGAACCTTATCTGTTTAGTAACACCTCTGTGCCTGTGTCCTCAGCATCTGCCTCGGGTTTGTTGTGGGGTTGCAGCAAGCTAACACTACAGAGACACAGAATGCAGGGATTTAGTGGACAATCAGTGCTAGTTGCTAATGCATCATCGTCATCGTCGTCATCGTCATCGTCATCATTCCTGCAGCGTAGGGACAGGAGAACAAGTCTCCATCTCCCTTGGTGATATTTGGTTAAGAAATGCCCGAGTGGCTGGCTATGGTGGTGCATGCCTTTACTTCCAGATGTGGGCAGTTTAAGGCCAGCCTGGTCTATATGACCTTATCTCAGAAAACAAAGATAGAAAAGTGAAAAAAAAGAAAAAGAAAGGAAGGAAGACAGCAAAGAAATGAGCACGTAGGACTGACGATGTGGGTAGGACATATCGACCATGGGCATAGCCTTGGGTACCCAAGAAGGAGGGGTTGGGGAGTGACATGCCTGATTGGGCAAATGAATGAACACTTTCTCTGCTGCCCGCCTGCAGGGACCTCTCCTCACGCCACCCCTGCTTCCCACACTGGCTTCTATCCCTGTCTCTGGACCTTTGCCCTATGTCAGCCATTTGCCACAGCTCTTCAGGTGGTGGCCCCCTCGTCATCACCCAGCAAGCGAGAGCCCTTCTGTCTTCGGACTCACTGCCTTTACCCTCATGCCGCCCTGATTTCTCCCCAGCGGTTCCCCCACTCACATCTTTCTCTCTCCCCCCAAACTAGATTATCCATTCTGAGACGAGGACCATGTGTGTGTCATTCACTTCCGTGAGCTCAGCCCCGAGCTAACGCCAGAGGCTGGCCCCGCGGAGGCCCTCGGTGCCTGTTGAGTGAGCGCAAGCCGAGGAACGGTGGCGGTGGCGCAGAGCGCCCTGACATTTTCCTGGATGAAAGCCCTCCCGCCGCAGTGGCCGCCGTCACCCTCCGCCTGAAGCCCCGTCCTCTTCAACAGCTCACTCCTCCCCTGTCTCCTTCCTCCTCCAGCCCCCGCCCACCGGGACCCAGCATGGCCAACTTCACCCCGGTCAACGGCAGCGCGGGCAATCAGTCCGTGCGGCTGGTCACGGCTGCCCACAGCCACCTGGAGACGGTGGAGATGGTGTTCATCGCCACAGTGACCGGCTCGCTGAGCCTGGTGACGGTCGTGGGTAATATCCTGGTGATGTTGTCCATCAAGGTCAACAGGCAGCTGCAGACCGTCAACAACTACTTCCTGTTCAGCCTGGCCTGCGCGGATCTCATCATCGGGGCGTTCTCCATGAACCTCTACACCCTGTATATCATCAAGGGCTACTGGCCCCTGGGTGCGGTGGTCTGTGACCTGTGGCTGGCCCTAGACTACGTCGTGAGCAACGCGTCCGTCATGAACCTCCTCATCATCAGCTTCGACCGCTACTTCTGCGTCACCAAACCCCTCACCTACCCCGCCCGCCGCACCACCAAGATGGCAGGCCTCATGATCGCAGCCGCCTGGGTCCTGTCCTTTGTGCTCTGGGCCCCCGCCATCTTGTTCTGGCAGTTTGTGGTGGGCAAGAGGACTGTGCCAGATAACCAGTGCTTCATCCAGTTCTTGTCCAACCCGGCCGTGACCTTCGGCACAGCCATTGCCGCCTTCTACCTGCCCGTGGTCATCATGACGGTGCTGTACATTCACATCTCGCTGGCCAGCCGCAGCCGAGTGCACAAGCATCGACCCGAGGGCCCCAAGGAGAAGAAGGCCAAGACCCTGGCTTTCCTCAAGAGCCCCCTGATGAAGCCCAGCATCAAGAAGCCTCCACCAGGGGGCGCCTCTCGGGAGGAGCTGCGCAACGGGAAGCTGGAGGAGGCCCCTCCGCCCGCCCTGCCCCCGCCCCCACGCCCGGTGGCCGACAAGGACACCTCCAACGAGTCCAGCTCGGGCAGTGCTACCCAGAACACCAAGGAACGGCCGCCCACGGAGCTGTCCACCACCGAGGCCACCACACCCGCGCTGGCCGCCCCCGCCCTGCAGCCGCGAACCCTCAACCCTGCCTCCAAGTGGTCCAAGATTCAAATCGTAACCAAGCAGACGGGCAACGAGTGCGTGACGGCCATCGAGATTGTCCCCGCCACGCCAGCCGGCATGCGTCCAGCCGCCAACGTGGCCCGGAAGTTCGCCAGCATCGCCCGCAACCAGGTGCGCAAGAAGAGGCAGATGGCAGCCCGGGAGCGCAAGGTGACCCGGACCATCTTTGCCATCCTGCTGGCCTTCATCCTCACCTGGACGCCCTACAACGTCATGGTCCTGGTGAACACCTTTTGCCAGAGCTGCGTCCCGGACCGGGTGTGGTCCATCGGCTACTGGCTCTGCTACGTCAACAGCACCATCAACCCCGCCTGCTACGCGCTCTGCAACGCCACTTTCAAAAAGACCTTCCGGCACCTCCTGCTGTGCCAGTACCGGAACATCGGCACGGCCAGGTAGACCTCGCAGTGTGCCCTGGGAGGTGCTGGTGTCAGGAGTGTGCCCCGGGGAACCGCATGGCTCGCCGGCTGCGGAAGAGAGAGTAGGCGGGCCCCCCCCAGCTCTGAGTTCGCATCTGCCACGAAGGGAACAGGCCTCCTAGCGAGGCACGAGGGGGCTCTTCTCGTGCTGTGCGGGGAGAGCAGATCTCTGCTGACGCCCAGGAGGCGCGGCCTGGGCATGGTCTGGACTGGCACCGCCTGGCCCCCGTCGGTCACCTCGCCTGTGTGGTGGGGGACAATGGCTGGAGGGGACAGCACAGGCCGGCGGACGCATGAATGGAGCAGAGAGCCCAGGAGCGTCTTGAGAGGAGCCAGAGAAGCCAGGCTTGGAAGGGTGGGGCCCCCGTCGTGCCGGCTGTCTGTAATCGGTGCTTTCCGCCTCCCTGCACCCCGTCCCCGCATGTAGGCTCGGCCCTTCCCCTGCCCCCTAGCCCCACTCCAGGCCCAGGGATTTCCCTGTCCTCGTTGTTCAGCTCTGGGTGGGAAGCAGGGCCCAGGGCTCTCAGCGCTTCCCTCCCTTCCCTGGCCAAGTCATAACTGGATGGGGCAACTGCAGGGTCATGCTAGGCCCAGAGCCGACTCCAGGGGACTGAGTCAAATCGTGATCCTATTGTCAAGAGCCTCCACGCCCCACCCCAGGCCACACGATTTAGGTGGGCAGCGCTCCCCTCTTCCTCTGTTCGAAGGGAGGTTCTGGGCCCGAGGGAAGGAGGGCCATGGTGAGGAACTTGGTCATCCGTGCAGGCTTCCTCATCTCTCCCCGGCCAGAACCTTCCAGACTGGCAGCAGCCTGGACCAAAAAAGGCTCTTGGTGGGGTGAGGCAGAGTTCGAGTTGAGTCACCGAGGTTCTCTTCCCTACCCCCAGCCCTGTGGTCCCTGGGAGAGATGGCACCCAGGTGGCCCTGGAAGACATTTTTGTAAATGTTCGGCTCTTCCCATGAACTGTTGGGAGCGCTTCCTACAGAGCCCTCAACTCCCCAGTTCCCCAACCCCTTCCCCCCCAACAAAGCTCCATGGTAAACTCCCTGGGAAGGGGCTTTTATATATTAAAAAAAGAGAAGCTTTTATTGGAAAAAAAAAAAAAAAAGCGAGTTCATTTTATTCATTTCTTAGTAACAGGTATGAGGGTGGGGGGGGGACAGAGGGGGTGCTGGGAATCAGATCCCCCTGTGGGGAGGCCCAAGCGTCCCAGAATCCCTTGTCCCTCCCCACTTAGGGCACTTGGTGTGGGTGGGAGGGGCAGGGGCAGGGAGTGATTGGCGAAGCTGACAGGAAGAGAGAAGGCACTGGTGCGTGGTATCTTGGGCCCCGTGGGAGAGGAGGGCTCCTTTCAGGCCCCAGGCAGGGCCGAAGGTTCACCGGCCTCCTGACATCAGTCCTTTCCTTTCCCCTTCTTGGCTGCAGAACAAGAAAGACTCGCGTTAGTACTTTAGAGGACTCATACTCAGGTCCATGAGGGAGAGGAAACCCTGCCCCCTAGCGGTGTCTGGTCAGTCAACCTGAGCGCGGTGGGAAAGGGCAGCCATTGTGATGCCAAGCCTTTCTCATTGCCTCAACTCTTCGCCCCCTCACTCCCTTTTTGAGTCCCGAGGCGCGGCCGCGAACTCACGGCGGTCCTACCGCCTCGGGCCGGAAGCACTGCTCTGACAAGCAGGAGCCACCAGCTTTCAGCTGTTCTCATCTGGGACCAGAGCACGTCTAAGTCCCTCACCTGGGAAGGGGCCACACCGACCTCTGCCCGAGAGGCCTGCCCAGCCGCTGTGGGCACCGTGAACTCTGACCCCGCCCCACCCTGCCCAGGTAACAAAGACCGTTTTCCAGGCGCTGGGATGGGATGAGCCAACAACTCTAGTTTCTGCTGGGGCAGGGGGAGGGCTCAGCGCCTCCTGAGCTCCGAGGCCGCGGCGCGGCGATGCCACAGAGTGTCCGGTCCGGTCCCAACCCCGCCACAGGCACTGACCTTTGGTCTTCGACTTGGTCTTGGAGGCGCAGGGCTTGGTCACGCGGATGGTCTCCTGGCACTGGGCATTGTACCGCGCCTTCTTGAGGGTGCCCTGGCGGGCCTTGGTGCCCGTGCTCCCGTCACACGCCCCCCAGCTCTCGAACTTGTACTTGCAGTCGGCTGAGGGGAGAGACGGCAGGGCTGCGGCCACCGTCCCGGCGCCCAGGCTGCCCGAGGCCACCCCCTCGGCTTTCCAGCCCTCCTCCGCGCCCCGCCGCACCTCCAAACTCCTTCTTCCAGTTGCAAGGCACCCTGCAGTGGACGCGCTGGGTCTGGGCCCCGCAGCTGCCCTCGCGGAAACCCACGCCGCAGTCCTTGCTGCTGGGCGTGCACGGCCCCCAGGTCCACTCCGAGCACTCGCCCCCCGCGCTGCCCTTCTTCACCTTGTCTGCGGGGCGCAAGGGGCAAAGTTAGGGCCGCACCTGGCCGCCCCCACCTGGCCTTTCACTCCGAGCCCGCCCCAGCCCATCACCTTTCTTCTTGGCCACTGCGGACGCGAGCGCCAGGAGGGCGAGGAGGGCGAGGAGAAGGAAGCCTCGGTGCTGCATCCTGGGGGAGAAGCCGGGGTTAGGGTTCCCGCCTCTGCTCCTCCCCGCCGGGGACCGCGGGGCGACCTCCCACCCCGACGGGCTCGACCCACTTCCCAGGCCCCAAAGGGTCCGACCGACGAGGGGGCGACGGGGGGGGGGAGGACTTAGAGCCGCTCTCCTGGGGCTCCGCGTACACCCCCGCCCCAGCCCCCTCGGTGGGCGACAGCCCGAAGGGACCGAGGCCACCGCCGCTGCGTGCGCTCACTCGCTCACTGCCCGCGCGCGACGCTTCGCTCCCTCCCGCCACGGCCTGTCCCGCTAAGGCTGCAGCGGCCCCTTTTGTCTCCAGAACCGGTCTGAGCCGGTCACATGGGCCCCCGCCCCTCCCCCATAGGAGGACCCGCCCCACCCCCTCCCCTCAAACCCGCATCCTCCCCAGACCCCCTAGTCCCCGCCTCCGCTCCCTCCCCTTGCGGAGCCAGGACTCCCGCGCCGGTGCCCCTCACCTCTGATCTCTGGGGCTCCGGGGCCCTGGGGCTCCGTCTTGCCGGTGCACTCCGGGCTTGGGTCCCCTCGCGGGTTCTGGATTCTCGCGCTCTACCCCCTCCCTCCTGGCCCTTCCCAGGTCTGGGCCCGGCTCCTGTCCCCTCGCGCAGCCCAGACAGCTCTCAGGTCACCGCATCGCTGGTGCCACCGGCCGGGCGGCCTCTGCACCCGCCTCCTTTCCCTTCGAGGCCTGGCTCACCGCCGTCTTAGTTTTGATCAGTTCACTCAGAGGGACTCTGATGTGTCGGGGAGGAGGGACCCAGGACCCCAACTGGCTCAGGGTGAGCAAGGCTCGGGTGAACCCTTTTCCAGTGAAGATTTGAGGGAGGGAAGGGCGTTGGGGGGAGGGGGCGCAGGCAGGCCTGAGTTTGGTAAATCTCGTAGCTGACAAGGGTTGAGAAGTTCCAGACCTGGCTTCCCTGGAGGTGATAACCGCCCACCCCTGACCCTGGGGTCTCCTGCTCACCTCAACCAGATCCCCCAGTACAAGCCAAGGGGCGGGGACTGCTCGGGGCACAGGGCCAATGGCCTAAGAACCCTTGCCCGGCCCCCGCCCTACCTCTAAACTTTCATTGTTACCATCCCAGCAGGAGCGGGAAGCGGAGGAAATCAGCTCCGCCCCTAGCCCTCTGAGCCTGAACCCCTAGGCAGAGGTCAGGAACCGGGCAGACCCTTCTCAGTTAGGGACCCCTAAAGGTCGGAGACGGTCGTGGCCATTCCCCGACAACAAGGATACACTGTTGCTAATCAGAGAGCGCCACCACCACAAGAAAAATAGAAAACAAGAAAGGAAAAAAAACTTCACTTTACTGAGTCACACCCAGCTGTAAACAAGCCACCGTGGGGGCCCCACCCCCACCCCAGGCCATACAGTCCGAAATGAAATGACTGGGTACATGACTCCGGAGGGTCATCGGGGAAGGTGCCAAGCAGGGCATCGGGCAGGTGAATACAGCAGGCTCTGGAGATTCTGAGAGGCCCAGGGTGGGTGGGTCAAGAGAGAAGGGCCAGGCACCCAGAAGCTTCCAGCCGGCCCGCAGGACCAGGTGGCTTGCGAACATCCTGCTGAGAGCAGTCCTTGCCGCTGGGCTGCGTCCAGCCCTTCCATCTGCTGTGGGGAAGGGGAGGCTGCCCCCGAAGGGACCCTGCCAGCCTAGCCTGTTTCCTGGGCCCCATGAAACCAGGGACAGGTCAGAGTCCAGCTCCTTGAGAGTCCAGCTCTACTGAGCGTCTTCTCAGGGGGTGGCACGGGGCTCCTTCCCTGGGCAGGGTCCCCCCATAGCCACCTGACAGGAATGTGGCAGTGAGGTGGCCAAGGAGAGCTCTCGTCCTCTGGTAGTGTCCCTCGTTGATCCATGGTCCCCTTAACTACACAGCCGTCTCCTGGTCCTCTCGCTGGATCATCTGGTAATGCTGTCTGTTTTCCAGGTAGGCAGCTAGCTCTGTGTCTTGAGCCTTCTCAGCTCGCTGCCGGGGAGTGTCGCCCTGGAGAACGGGTGGAAGCCCCAAGGCCTTAGGGGAGGGCAGGCGCCTGAGGGGCCAGGGTAGCCTCAGAGGTCACAAGGTTCCCGGGGGCTCAGGTTTCTCAGGGCTGCACTGTGGGCATGGAACAGCTTCAGATTCCTAGTCCTGCTCCCAAATTTGGGAACGGGTGGATTTGTGCTCGGCCAGGCAACTCACCTGCTGGTCTGTCTTCATGAGGGAGGCTCCGGCTTCCACAATGTAGTGGCAGATGGTGCGCTGGCCCAGGGAGGCAGCCTGGTGTAGACAGGTCTCCCCGCTGCGGGGGAGGGGCTGCTTAGAGACACTGCCAGTTCTCCGGGCCTGCTCAGCTATCTCCCGACAGCCATTAGAAAGGGCAGGAGTTTGGGGAGAAGGGGAGGGTACCCCATGCTGGCCAGAAAGGGTTCTTGGGCTCTGAGTGACCAAATGCTTAGGATCAAAGCGGGGGAACCAGCCTCTGTCCTGGATACTCACTTCTCCTCCACAGCATCAAGGATCTCCGGTGGCGCTGCGGAAGGGAAGAGCACTAAACCTGGCAGGCCCCCTTCCTCCCACCCAGCCCGGGAGCACAGCTTACCATTGTCCAGCAGATAGCGGACCACCTCCTTACTGCCACTGCTGACTGCGTGATGCAAGAGTGTTCGGCTCTGCTGGTCCCTGTGCATGAGGTCACCTCCTGCCCGGTGTAGTTCCTGGAGCTGAGGACAATGGGCAGGGCAGAACAGGGCTGGATTTCCCTCCCTCCGCAAGCTGGGACCCAGGCACGGTTACTCCCAGGCACCACTGAGGGTTTTTTGTTTTGGCTTTTTTTGTGGTTTGACTATGAAGTCTTGGCTTTCGTAGAACTCGCTATGTAGAGCAGGCTGGCCTCTGCCTCCTGAGTGCTGGGATTAAAGACGTGTGCCCCCATACCTGGCTTCTGAGGGTCTCTTTGGAGTGTCATTAGACACAAATCTTTCATCATCCTGTGGGTGAGGGACTCCCCAAATGCACAGCCACCAAGCCTTGTAGTTCCTTTCAGCCTGGCCGCCTTCCCAGGGCAGGGGACAGGCAGAATGGGTGAGGTAGCCCCTAGCAAGAAGCCATCTGGCCAGGGCAACCCCGTGGTGGACCAGCTGACGAGGATAAGTGTCTAAGACCTCCCCGGGTGAGGCTACGGGCCGGGCCGAGAGCTCTGACTAGTACCTTACAGAAGTCATTCCTCTTGGCAGCTTCAATCAGCTCTTCACCTGCACAGAATATCTGTCCATCAGACCCTGAGGTCAGCGGCCTGGGGATGGGTTGGTGTGTGAACAATGAGTGTGATGATGTCCTACTGGCCACAGCAGATGCCTGCTGGGGCACGTCTGTCAATGGCTGGATGTGTACAGGAAAGTGATCACGTGGGACTCGATGGCTATGCTTGTCAGCTATGTGAACCCTGACCCCCACCAAACCTCACACATATGACCAGGTAAAGGGAAGTGTCGGG